GGGGGACCAGGCTGCTCTCATTGTGACCCCATGCATCTCACAGCATCGCTGCCCACTCAGCGAAGGTCAAGAGCAACTTCAGCATCAAGCAGCAAACATTTAACCTGGCATCTTCTCCGGGAGGCAATTGCAAGCGCGGTGCTTAAATCAGCCCTGGGCTTTCAGGGGAGGGATCCGAGCTGAGGAGCGAGGATATTTCTCTTGCAAGGAACACACCACCCCCTCGCCCACAGTCACTGCTAAGTGCAAGATGTGGTGAAAGTCTTTAAAAATAGATATATTCCCAAGCAATGCATGCCGCTCGCATCTGGCAGGGCAAGCCTAGCATGGAAGCTCTTTCTTACTGACTAAAAAGAATCATTAACAGCAAGAGGCTCGTGCAACCTTGACTCTCTCCTTCTCTCTTCAGGGCCTTCTCTTGTTCTTGGCCTAAACCAGTCCTGGGAAACACAAGGGAAGCCCTGCCCAGCTAGGCTGGTGTCAAAGGCAGGGAAAGATACTGCAGTGCAGTGCTGATCTCTTCTGCAATCGGACGTGCAGACTAGCCCGAATGCTGAGTCAGCACAATTTCTTTTTTGATTGGTTGATCTGAGCAACATATTTTCAATGTATGCTAAAGGGGCAGCAATTAATACATTTCCCCCCTTTCCCCATCTTTCCAAACCGGTCCGAATCGAATGCACAAATCTCACCCCCAAAGTCACTCTCTGGTCCTAAATATTCTGAGGTTCTTTCATTTTTAATTTAGGGCATAAAAAAAAAAAAAGAAAAAAAAAGAAAAGAAAAGAAATTTGCAATCTAAGCGATGCTCACTTTGATCGACTTGTGCTGCTGCAGCTAAAATATCTGTCCTGCAGGTCAATCTAATCATGCTTAATAGCAGTTTATTCTTCAACACAACATTTTTCACGTTGGGTCGACAGTTTTAAATGAGATTGCTGATGCACCCCTTTACTAATGCTTTTACCAGGGCCAGCACATCCCTTGAAATACTTGTGCAATAAAATGCTTTATTGCTCTTGATGAATGCACTATTAAACTTGAATTGCAAACATACACACACCCCCTCCTCCTTTTTTGTGTGTGTTTTTTTCCAAAAGAGGGTGCTGGAATTTATGGGACCACCTGTCTTCTAATATTAAGTAACAACAGTAATAACAGATCATCAATACAACAAACACGGAAAACTAAGACAAAAGAAACCCGCTGGGGAAAAAACGCATGGATGGCACAAATTTGTCCCTGTGCTCTCGTGTGCACGTGCAAAATATCCATCTTCTACCTGCCGGTGGTTCCGCTTACATGCGGAGAATCCATCTCGAGAACGGCTGGATTTTGTGAGGCATAGAATAGAAAAATTTAACTAATTTGGTCCACTGGATTTATGGCTTTTACAATCCTCAAAGCTCCTGTTCCCGCGCCGGGCACTGCACAGCCCTCGGTTTGTAGGATGGATGGGAGCACCTGAGCATCCCGGTGCTCCCCGCAACAGCACTCAAGGCAGGGAGATGCTCACCAGTTTTTAATGAGCGAAAAGAGAAGTGGCATCATTTTAGCTATCAAATAGAGGGGACTGAGTGCGATGCAACGGTCACAGCTTAAACCTAAAGAGGTGAAAAAGGGAAGAGGAGCTGCCACAACACTGAAGAACGGCGCAAACCAGTTGCTGAAGGCCTCTAGCCATCATCTGCTTCCATTACTACCAACAGCAACGGGCTGCTGTGGCTCGGGAGGGGGGGCTCACATAGACACCCCATTTCATTATTAGCATCATCTACGCCTGGGTTGCTGGGACACGTGCCACAGCAAAGCCTCCCCGCCACCTCCGCTCCCATGCTGTGAGACAGCGCTCAGAATTAGAGCTTTGAAAATATTTACATAAAAAGATAAATCTGAGCACTTAGTGACTTCCTAAAGTTAGCAATTCCATGTGATTAACAAGCGTATTAATTCAGAGAAGGGGGGGAAAGGAGATAAAAATTGCATCAGGAATGCAGGTATCTACCGTAAATCAGACCATGAGCACCTTCGCGAAAGCAACGCGCAGTGGCAAGGGACTTTAAGTAAAACCTGTGCTAAGGAAAGAAAGAAAGGGAAGAAAAGAGAGAGAGAGACATAAAGAGAAGAAAAAGAGAAAGAAAAAAGGAAAGAAAAAGGAAAAAAGGGAAAAAGGAAAAAAAATGAAATAAAAAAGAATGAAACGGAACAAAGATAAAGACAAGCAAAGAAGGTTGGAAAAGAAAGCAGGAAGGAGAAGAAAAAGGAGAAGAGGTAGGGCAAAGGGTCAGCAAGGAAGCGAGTGAGATTTTATATATAAATTATATATAACGTATAATTTTGTGCTGTATCCAGAATGGTGAGATTTGTCCTCATTTTTCATCACGGATTCAAGCTAACATCGGCAATTTACAAAGGAGCAAAACTGCAACCCCGCTTGGGCCCCAGAGCTTCCCTCCTCGGGCTCAGCTCGTTTCCCAGTATCCACCAGCTTCATATCTAAATCTGATAACCCACCAAAGCAGGGCTGGACACACCAGGGCCTATCCTGTGGGGACCTGGTTGTTGAGGACCCTTCCCCATGTAGGGTGACCGAGCTCAGGGGACTCTGCATCCCTGCAATGAAGTCCTAGGAGACTCTGCCGTTGCCAGCCAGCAAAACCCAGACTTCCCAAGGCCCAGCATAACCAGAGCATCATGACACGCAAACAGGATGCTGTGCAAACCAGCCGCTCTCCAGTGCAAACCAAAGCCACCTGGCAAAGGAAAGGCTCCTCCTCTGCTAGGAAAGACTCAGCACTTCCCACACCTCCATCAGCCACGGTATTTACATTAAACAAACAAAAAACCTCTTAATAAATCCCTCCAAATCTCATACACAGGAAATCTTCCTGAGAGCCAGCCTGCCTTTTCAAACCCATATCCACAAGCACCTGCTTACAGTTAAATCCCCTTTGGCATACCTGTAGCAAGTGATGACGGCGCTGAATAGAGCTGGATAAAGACTCCACAAAATCCAACCTTCGAGTCTCGTCCTCTCCCCATGCCTAGGAGAGGGTGCTGTGATGGGTAAGGCTTGGTTAACCTTGGTGCAGGATGTGGAGGCATCACACCTATCAAACGATGCCTCAGGAGCCCGTTAGCCAAATGAAGAGGGCTGTTGCAATTGCTGGGAAATCACCCAAAATCAAAACGCTGCTCTCAGCTGCCCCATGGAGATGGGAAGGTGAGTTTGGGCAGCTGGGGAGCTGCTATCTGGGGAGCTTGGCTTTGCCTGGTGTTACAGGCATCACAGAAGAGTGAGGATGTTTGGGGCTGAAAACTTTAAACCCTCAGATGCGACTCCCACCTGTGTGTTAAAACCCAGCTCCTTTCATCTTGCCTCATTATTGTAGGATCCTGAAAAAACACCCAACTGTTTTACATTGCAAAAGGTTAACAAGGAAAAGCAAAAGCCAGTGAAGGCTTCCAGAACTAAAGGAGCTCGTTTTCTTATTTTCCTTTGGGAAATAAGACCCTTATATCCAAGAGCACTCCTCTGGCTTTAGCTGTGATCTGCAGACTCGCCACACCGATAGGGAAGATCTCCTTGTCTCCAGTTTCAAGCACAAAAAGTTTTAACGTGGGAAAGACTGGAGAAGCGGAATTTGCACGTTAATTCAAAGCTGGAACACTGCACACCCGAGTCACAACTGTTGGATCCTTTTTCTCTCTCTTCTCCTTCCACCTCCATCTCCTTTTGTTTCTCCTCTATTTAAAGATCAGCCAGCTCTGTTTGCTACCTATTGCCCTGGTTTTGAGGTGGGGGGAAAGGGTTGTTGGGGAAGCAGGAAAAAGGAGCGATTGGCCTGCATCCCTGTTAAAACCCAGGAGCGGCCAGCCAGCTTTCCTCTGGCATCGCCTTTCAAAGCCCATGCCGCAGTCAGCATATTGAATATTTAATGTCCTGATGAGCATTTCCACCTGCTGACACAGGCAAAGTGACAGAACAATACACGCGCTGGAACAAGACCATCAACTGACTCCCCACTCGGGCTGCCAGGTCAGGCAGTTAAATAAGAAATAATACCAAATAATGTGTCTGTCTTTCTCCCCTGCTTTGCCCAGGGTCACACATCGCTCCTCTGAGAAGGGTTCCCACCTGAAATACATACTTCTTTACATTCCATAGCTTGCCAGGTTCATATGGGCATATAAAGAAGTATGTCTCTCAAGCAGGTAGTTTCAATATGCGCATTTATATGGTCACAGGAGGAAAAATAACGCTGATTTACAATCTACATCCTGAGAGCGAGTTACGGCTCAGTTTAAACCAGCAGACTTTCCTCCTGCCCAGCCCATGTGCAGACACACACATACACACACATACACCCCCCCAGCTCCTGCTCCTCACTGGTAATTCCAGGCTTTGCCCTCGGCAGGTGATGGATTTTGGTCCCTGGGAAGAGGAACTGGATAATTCACCGGTCACAAAGCAGCAGCGCTCCGGTGGATGCCCTGGCAGGGGCTCTTTGTCACATAAACAGCACAGAGTCAAAGCCAACCTCCCACTCCACCTCAAAAGTAGGTGTTTCATTCAAAATGGTAAACTTTCAGCAATTTAAAAGACTAAAATGTGGTTTAGTGGAAAGGATTTGCTTTATATGCATATAGAGATAATTGCAGACAAAGCCATGTGGGGGAAAGTTGAATACCTAGTATTTCCCAATTGCCTCCAATTGCAATTTGGAAACAAAAAGCCAATTTGTTTTCAGAAAGCTCAAAATCAAATGGTCAGCTACTGATTTACAGACCGACACCGGGAAGGACTGCTCCATTTGCCAGAGTAAGAAAACTCATCAGCCCCAGACAAGCAATTGCTTTCATCAGTAAGTAGAGATTAAAGCATAGGAAGAAGAAAGCATCTTACCTAGCGAATCCAATGATTTTTCCTCTGCTGGTCACTGTGAGTGAGACATTACCTCGCAGATAAGCAAACCCAAAAAGACAGCACATGCCTTTTGGGGAGTTCAGGATATTGGAAAACAAGAAATATTAAGATGCTTCTAATAACTCCTCCGGTAGCTCCACGCTAAAGGGTTTCGGGGATACACCTGCAGACGCACAACGGAAAAGGCAGCCGAAGCAAGGTGCTGGGAGCTCGGACCAAAGTCTCTCTGAGTTATTCCCACAGCCCTGTGGGGTTGCTCGTGCACCCATGGGGCTGGATCCTGCACGCAGCCATGAGCTCTCCCCCTGTCCCTCGCCTCCCCGCAGCAGCGCTGAGCTTTAAAGCTCCTGGAACAATGTGGGCCGAGTGGCAGGGCTGCAAACGCCGCCCGGGCTGAATGGGGGACTATTATAGGCAGGATTTAGGCAGGGAGCGACGGCGGAGGTCACGCCGGGCGCTGCCTGCTCGCTGCCTGCTCGCTCAGCACGGCGGGCAGGGCGAGCTCACCTGCGCCCGCCGCCCCTCGCCGCGATCGATGCCAATTTACAGGCAAATGCGGAATGGCTGCCTTGGTGTTAATGAATTTTACCGTTTCTCACAGGCTTCTAATGAACCCTTTAAAGAGGGTTTAAGTAAACTTAGCAAGTGGCAAACTAAGCACTTTGGAATACCTAATTGCATCGATGCTTTTCCACTGCTTTATAAAATATCACTGCCAGATGGGGAGTAAATATTTCCCTGCTACCCTCTGACTTCTAGCACCACAAAAAAAGCAAAGGCCATGCGGAGCCGGGGTGTAAATCTACTGTTCTCAGCCCCCAAAATGGCTTTACACCACTCATACAACACCAGCAAAAGCTTTGGTCCTGGCTCGCTGCAGCTCTCCCCATTCCCTGAGTTTGTTGGCCTTTTTAACCATCATTATTTGCCTCACTCCAAGGCAAATTTCTACCTTTAGTTTGGATTAAGGGGAAGAGAGATGGAGCTGTGGCACCATTGTAATGCATGACTGCAGTGAAATTAAAGCAAAGAGAGAGCTGAGGAGTGTGAGAGAAAGTCTGAGTGCTTAAGATTCAAAACTAAAACCCAAACCCAACAAAAATCAAAGTGCTGGTGGGGGGTTTTGTGCAGCCAAGGCACTCCATGGCACTGAGTTTCCTTCAGACTGGTAACAGTAGGAGAGCGACTGGACTTCTTGGACCATTAAACACCTGCAACTCATACCCAGTTTGCTTTCATCTAATACATCTGATATAGGCTGTCAAGATCAGTCCCCAACTTCTGCAACGAGTGGGACAGTAACTGCCAGCCACTAAAAGAGCACTATATAAGAGCTAAAGAAAAATGACCTTTTAAAACTGAAGGCAACGCCACAAACCTGGCAGGAAAAGTTCATCCTGGACATTTCAATTTGCCTTGAGGCTCCGCGTGGAAGCTGGTGCTTTCCAGGGTTTGGAAGGAGCAGATAAATGGCGTAATGGTGCTTTTAATGGTGACGCCAGAGGCACCCTGTGGTTCCCATCCTGCAGCTACCACCAGGAGCAAGTGGTGGTGGGTGAACGTCATCCAACGTCCTCGACCCACCCTAGGCTCGCTCCCAGCAGAAAAACCTGGGAAGTAAAATTCCCTGGGGAGAAAAATGGATGGAGACATGGACAGTGCCAAGGCCAAGGGGCAGAGAAAAGGGAAGAGCCTCAGGTATTGTCTGGAGGTGAAGGGGGAGGAGGATGGTGGGAGGAGTGGAAAGCAAGGTGCTGTATATTGTATTATATACCTGCTCTGCTCGAGGTGCTGCTCAGGTCCTGGTGGCAAAGTCAAGCACAAAACTTTGGGGACTTTGGAGAGAGCCTGTGTTTAGGGCTGAGTGCTGGGGAAGGGAGAAACAAGCAGGACCTAGGCAGAGGCATGTGCTTGCCCCAGCACAGCCCTAGGCCAAAGGGCTGGGCTGGGCAGGGGATTCAGTCCTTGAGAGACACTGACACAACCATCGAGAGAAACCCAGCAATTAAACTGGCAGCACAGATCACAGATCTCTGCCTATACAATTACACACTACTGCTGAGTGTACGCTCTCCCCGGCACAGACATAAACCCATACCCATATTCTGAACACAGCCTGGAGATGCTTCTACGTGGATGATACGTTACACCTGCTAATAGATAGCACTTGCATATTACTATGTATAAAATATCCATATGCATGCTATAGAACACACTTAAATCTGTGCGCATGTATGTGTCACAGTATCCATCTCACAATACCGATGCCTATATATTTATGTGACAAGGTATCACCACTATCATGTAAAATATGACCACAGTCAACTCTGAGCTGCAGAAGCTGTAACAGTCAATTGATGTTACACTTCATGTAACCTGAATTCCAAACCCTTGCAGGGAAAACCTAACTTCTCCTCCTCCTATTCCCCTTCTGCTAGTCCACAAACCACATGCCTGTAATTAATGTCCATTTCTCAGCATTTTAACAGTTAATCCCCCCAGCACTGAGATCATTGCAAGTTTAGGCTAAGTTTAACCACATTTCACCCTTTTGCTCTGCCTGGTATTAGCTCATAGCACTAGTTTGTTGCAAATAAATAAATAAAGCCCCAATCCCCCCAGGTGTCATTAGCAGCCTGTGTCTGAATTAGGCATTTAAAGGCCAGTTTAACCTTGCAGAACGGCTGCATGTCAAAGTTCTAACATTTCAGTTCAGATTATTCTAGTGCACTGCTTGCTCTGCAGTTTGTTCGGGTTTGGTTTTGTTGGGGTTTTTTTATATGCAGAGTATGCCACAGCAGAACAAAAAAGAAAGGGGGGGGGGGAGGTCTCTTAACCCATCCCCACATGAAACACACACCCAGCACATCCCTGCACAGACACACACAGGCAACACACACACACACACACACACACACACACACATACATTTGCCAGATGCAAAAGCCCAGATTTAAGTCCCCGGGTAAGTTGGATGGGCGCTTAGTCCTGCATTGGCCAGGAAAAGTGTTTAAAAACAAGCTGAGCTGGGAGCGGTTAAAGGCAAGGCAAGGGAGCAGGAGGAGGAAAAAAAAAAGACATACCAGTTAGGAGCTTCTGTTGCAGCAGAGGACTCACCAGAGCACTAGCTGAAAGCTGAATCAGCTTTCGAGAGTTAGGGATGCATAGAGGAGGGTCATGGAATCACAAGGTAATAATGCGCTTCATGCTGCAGCCGTCAGCCTTCTCCTTATAGCCAATCTCTAATGCAGGAAGGGAGAAAGAGAGCAGGCCCGGGGATGGGATTAGTCCTCACTTGGAGAAGAGAAAAAAAGACCGAAATAATAAAGCCAAGAGTCCCCAGGCAAAGGCTCCCTCCCCATCCCCAGCCCCATCCCCAGCCCTCCACAACTCCGGCCCCGCGGTGCGGCGGAGGCAGCGCGGCGCGGCGGGGGCGAGCGGCGGGGCGGGGGGAGCGCGGCTCCGCGGGGCTCCGCGCAGCGCGGCACGGGTTAAGGAGAAACAACCTTGCCCGCCCGGATTGCAGCACACCTTGATGCGAAAAGGGCTGCGCCTGCAGAAGTGCCTGCGCCCCCCCCCCCCCCCATTCCCCATCCCCATCCTCCTCATCATCATCCTCCTCACACCCACCCCGCATCCAGCCCCCGGGTTGGGGGTCAGGATGGCAAAGGGGGGGGTGCACACCTCGGGGTGTGTGTGGTGGGGGAGAAGGTTGGTGAAGGAGAAGGGGGGGGCAGCGCCGGTCAGAAAGCGAGTCCACCTTTCCAGTGCTTATATACCCAGCGAAGCATCCGAAACACGCACTCCCGGGCGAGTGGCCCCTTCTCCTGCTCTTCCCTCCCTGACCATATTTAGTCAACCACGGCAAAAAATAGCCCGTCAGCTGGAGCCTGCGGAGCAGTATTTGGAGTTCAATCACTCCTCGCAGCCCATTGACTACTGGTCCTGCAGGGTCCTGACTCTGCCTTTTTTTTCCCCTCCTGCTATTTTTAGCTAGGCCAAATACAGCAGGAGCTCATCTTACTACTCTCCACCAGCCCGAGGGTTCGTGGGGCCCTGGCTATGTTTGGTAAGCACCGGCGTTGGGAGACGTGGAGCGGAGACCTTGTCAGTGCCGGAAGACCTTTGGGTCGCACCCAAATTCATGTGTTTCCTCTCCTTTACCTTCTTCCATTTGTTAATTCTTCCTCTGTGGTAGAAAGGTGTCCAGGTGAGAAGGTGGGGAAGAAGCTCAGTGGATCCTGATTTTTGCCTTACATAGGGAAGAGCCAGGATTCAAAGACCTCACGCTGGGGCCAAGTTCCTCACCATAATGTCTTGGGTACCTCGTTGTCCAGCCATGTCTCCAACAGTGTTGAAGGCTGGAATGGTATTGGACTCTTTCCACCCTACATGGGGAGCACTAGGGAGCCCCATCGCCAGCTAAAGAACACCCCTTGTTATGGTGAGTTAAGGCAGGTCACCAACAGAGTGGTGTCTGCTGGGCCTTGGGGTCATGGGAGCTTTCCAGCCTCCAAAGCTTCACCCAGCAGTACACTGAGGAGGGCCAGTTTTGGCAGCACAGGCACTGCCTTTGGCTTGCGCCCAGAAAAGCAGGTGGATGTGCCTAGAAACTTGAGTTAGGCCCCGCTTCAACGTAAAGATGTCAGGACCGCAGAACCCTGAGGAGGTCACCTTGAGAGAGCACGTAAATGATGACATAAGCACCATTGGCTGCATTCAATGCTTATTTGCAGCAGACCTCTATCCTGGAACACCTCCTGGATCCAATGCCCCCTCCTGCCCTAACCACACCAGCTCTCTAATACCATGCCACCTCATCCAGAAGGTCCACATCACCTCCTTGCATCCCAAGAGCACCTCATGTTGATGGACCACTGCCATGGGCAGGCTTTGAGGGACTGGGGCTGGAGGGACCAGTACCTGCCAACACTTGCTTGGATGGTGGATGTGGGGTCAGGGTAGGAACCCCAATGAGGTGCCCAACACCCTCTGTTCCCATCAGCAGTCAATGAATGTGGAACGACACATAATAGAGACACCCAGCCACAGGGTCTGTGCACTGCCACACAGAGACCAGGCAATGCTGATCCCGACGGATACCTCCACTTAGGACATCACGTGAGACTGTCAGGCAACACTCGCCTGAGGGTGTTGTTGGGAGCTGACAGCAAGTCATCTAAGGATGGGAAATGCCTGCAGGAACCACCCCACAGTGCCACGAGGTGGGAAGGGCTCCCAGGACGTCCCAGCAGTGCTTCCCCATGCCCTGATGCCTGAACTCCCCAGCTCCGAGGGCACTGCCAGAAATAGCCACAGCGGCTGATGTGTCTGCTCCCTGTCCTGGGCTGCCTTGGCCCTTGCTCTGTCTGAGCCTGCAGCTCTCCTGAGCCCACACTGGGAACATGGATTTCCTCTGCCCGCCCAGTCCCAAGGACAGGCTGTTCCACACCAGCAGCGCTGTTCAGACAGCCCAGGAACGGGTGTGTGGCAGCAAACCCAGGAAGTCTGGTGTCTCTGAGGTGCCGGCACCATCACTGTAGTGGCCATAACATAGAGCAGTGCTCAGGACACTCTGTCTGACCCCAGGGTACAAACTTGGAACCAGCAGTAAGGAGACACCATGCTTCTCCTCACTCCTCTGCTCCAACGCGGTCCTTGTGACCACCAATGTCCCCTTTGCACCTTCAGGTCATTTCCATGCAGAACAGCCAAGCATTTCCTGCAGTGGCACAAACCACGTCCTTTGGGTTTTAATTCCTTCTCTTTTCCATCACTGCAGGGATGTCCAAGCCTCTCCCCCTCGGGCATCATCCTGGAATTTCAATGCTTTCCTAGACCATGCCCTTTCCCAACTGAAGCCACAAAAGCCCTTCTGCATACTGGTTCACCCCAGGGCCACCCGAATACATCCAGCGGGGGCTTTAGCCAACATATCAGCCAGCACAGGGGTAGTTCGCTGCCTGTTACACTCTTGGGTGCATCTTGTGGGGGGGTTGAGAACCCAAGTGCCAAAAGCGACAAGTTCTCACTCTATTTTCAGCCCCATCCGAAATCACAGAGTCCCCTTGAGGAGCAGCTCCTCATGCTCCAGCAGAACCCACCACCAGCAGCAGGGGAGCTGTTAAGAGCCGCTGCTATCGCAGGCACAATTGTGCCCTTCTTTGGATTGAGTGAGTTGTTATCACATCCCTGACAGGTTCCCTGGGGTTGAGAATCCATCCCGACACCAAGATATGTTGGGAACAGGAGCGAACTATAAACAGAGATGAACCAAAAGCAAATCAGAGATGTGAATGAAGAGATTGTTTAGAGCGCAAACCTGCTCTTTGCACACAGATTTCTTCCCTTCACTAATTGCTTTACACCACACTCACCCTTGAGCTCACAGGGACTGAAATACCTATGTTCCTCTCCCAAAGGCACTGCACTTTTTTATCAGGACCTGGTTTGGAGCCTGCACCATGCCCTAATAACACTGGGAGTTTGGCATGCAGAATGCCGGGAGAGACGAGTCTGAATGTGCAACCACCGCAGCCTGATAGACTTTGCATATATATATATATATATATATATATATATATATATATATATATATATTTACCTACACACATACATATATACACATATACCTATCTACATGTGCATATGTAATAATAACGCACGTGTGCGTGCACATCATCATTCTGCATTAAAGCTCCTTTAACCAAAGAAGCCTGAGGAAGATGCACGGCAGGCTGTAAAACTGAACCAGTTCGAAATGTTATGTGAGAGATTGCAACGCTCCAAACAAAATGCAAGATGTTACTTTAAAAGAAGCAGGCCTGGGCTTTTGAATTTATGTAACCTAAACTGATTTTGTCTGTTTGAAATTGTTGTTGCGTGTGGGGAATCTCAAAGAGGAGAGGAGCAAAGCTGCAGACGTTTCCTTTGGAGTCCAAGATTACAAGCCCCTTTACTTCTCCTTGCAGCTCCAAAGCTGTTAATGGTTTGCTTCATTTTATTAACAGCAGACAAGGAAAAAAAAGAGAGATTCCTCCTCGGAGCATGTGTGAGGTGACAAGTTGGATAATAACAGCTCCTTTGGAAGCTTTTATAGTACATTAGGCAAACATAGTGGATGTTTATAGACTTTTAAAAATGCTGATTATATAAAATTGCATTTTTAGCCTTCTAAAATACCAAGCTACTGTAATATAAATATTTCTAATAATATTAAAAGAAACCCTAAAAACGCAGATTATTGACCCAATTGGAGCATTATTTGTATTGATTTCAGGTTTGCTTTGGGCCAAAATCTGATCTCAAACCAAACAACTGGACAGTACCCCGTGACAAGAGCCAGGTCAACCAGGTTTTCTCCTCCCGCAGATGCTTTGTTTTCCTGGGATGAAGCCAAACTGACCGAGCCCTGCACCCCATTTACCCTCCCTGCATCCTCAACCACCTCCAGCTCCAGGAGCTCTTGGAAAAGCCAAACACCTCCCAGCACCCAGCTGCCCGGCCAGCTTCCCACCTGGCTGGTGGTGAGGAAGCTCATGGTCACCCAGGGGTTGGTTTTTGTCTGTTCTCCATGAGAATTTGTATGAATAATTAATATTTTATTGGCACAGCAGCTTGACTCTGGCTCTCTCCTGTTTCTCACTGATAAGGTTGCTGGGGATGCGCCTTCTCTCTTTTTGGTCTCTTTTTCTTACTTTGCCTCCGAATTCCATCAGTACATGGAATTAGCTTTTGCCAACAGCAGTTGTCTCAACACAGATAAATTCTTGCCAAAAATTAAGGGCTTGACAAATTGGCACATCCCTACCAAAAAAAACAATACCCCAAACAACGAGTGAAATGATGAGTTATTCTTTGGTTTATAAAAGCAAATGTTGGCTTTGTCTTTTATTAATGACTGGGAAAGACCAACTCTGAGCTTTGGAGCTGCCTGCAAAGTCCCCTAAGTCAGTGTGAGATCTGGCTTTTACATCACACCACTGTAACGCCTGTTTGACCCCAAAGAAGGGTGTTTATTTCATCTTCCTGCAGTTAATTTTCTTCCCTTTGGTAATTGAAGCTCAGTTTTTAAATAAAACACATTTTTTCTGTGTGCAAGGTCCCATCTGTCCATTAACTGAGCCCATTCCACATCACTTGGGAAAATCGCAGCCCCACAGACAGACCAAGGGAAGGAGCTGCCAGCAACTCACCCACCAGATGAATGCAGCGATCGCAGCACCATTTTCCAACGTATTTGTGCTTCAAAACACATCTTCTAACCCAGATGCCAGCTCCAGCCTTATCCGCTGTACATGGATATAACATGTCTGTGTGACATACAGTTCATTATGATGCAAAAGGTGCTTTATCCCCGCTCGTCCCAACTTTTGTCCTTTTATTTGGTGTTTCTGGCAAGAGAAAGAAAGAAAATGAAATAGTTTTCAAAAATAATGTCAAACAAAAGCAGTGCTCACTATAGCACAGTAGTAACATCCTTTCCTCTCAAGATCCTAATGTGGGAGACCGCCGTGTTATGCTCTCCCCTTTCTAATAGGGAAACTGAGGTAGAGTCGGGGTTGCTTTGCTGGGGAGCCAGGGCATGGGGCTGCTTCTCTGCATCCTTCCAGTGAGCTCAGCCACCTCTGGGGTTTATCAGCATCCCACTGTTGGTGGATGAAACGGTGACATTAGTGATAACTTAGTCAATACCCACTGTCCAACTTGAGTTCATTCACATGTTGTGGGCTTTTTTTCAGTTCAGCAGCATGGAAGG